TTCATTCCGACGAACCAAAAATCTTGCACCAAGTTAGATATAGTTTTATCCACTGATTGATGTCCATTCAAGTTATGTGCAGTCACCACCAGACTCTTACGCATACTTTTTGGCATTACAAACAGATCCTTCCCTTGGTATTCTCTGTACAAGAGATTATTAATTAATTTAAAGTAACGTACCCGGCTATCTTCATCCTTAGTACGCTCTTCCCTGTCCATTCCAATAATCTTTATAAGCTGTTGTAGCTCTTCATCAGCAGTTTGACACATGAGTACTCTCTCCTCCACTGACAAAGTTACATAGACTCCACCATACTCACATAAGGCACTCTCAAGTTCTGTGGCAAGTCCCAAATCTGCTGATTTGCCAACTGGGTCTCTTGACAACGCATCCACATGAGTCATCCTTGAACCTGCCTTGTACCTCAGGTCAAAATCATACTCCTGGAGTAAATCACTCCATCTGGCAATCTATGGCTTGGATATATGAGTCTTTAAAAAAATCAAAGCCTGACAATCAGTAAAAATTACAAACTTGATACCCAACAAATAATTTCTCCACTTAGTTACAGCATGAACTACACTAAGTAATTCCAACTTGCTCGAGTGATACTTCGCTTCAGCCTCTGTCAGCTTCTTACTCAGACAATGCACTAAGTTCAATGGCCCTCCTACTTCATCACTCTGTAAAAGCATCGCCCCAATCCCTATCGAGCTGGCATCAGTGTGCACTTCAGTTGTTGCAGCCTTTGGATTGAACATTCTCAAAACTGGGGGCCTTGTTAACTTATCCTTCAACAAGTTAAAAGCGTCTTCTTGTTCTCTTCCCCATGTAAATCTAATGCCCTTCTTGGTTAATTTTGTTAAAGGCTCTGCAATCGTAGCGTAATTTGCTACAAATCGCCTGAAGAATCCAGTAAGTCCGAGAAAACGCCTCACGGAGTGAACATCCTTCAGAACCGGAAACTTTTCAATAGCTTGAGTTTTTCCCTCTCCTGGTCGAATGTTACCACCTCCAATGACGAATCCAAGGAACTCGATTTCATTTACACCAAACGAACACTTTGAAGGTTTCAATGTAAGATTTGCCTCATTTAATCGCTCCAGAACAACTTCTAGTTTTCTCAGCATGTCTTCCCAATCTTGTGCATCAATAACCCAATCGTCAAGATAATTTTTAACCACACCACTCCTTAGATTTCCAAGAACTTTCTTCATAAGACGAGTAAATTCACCAGGTGCACCAGCCAGTCCAAATGGCATCCTAGTAAATTGTCCGGTTTCGTCGGGGGTCACGAAAGCTGTTTTTACTTGTGCTTCAGGTGTGAGTGGAATCTGAAGGTAACCCGTAGCCAGATCCAACTGAGCAAAAATTTTACCACCAGCCAAAGCTTCTACCTGCTCCAACATGTCTGGTAAAGGAAAATTTGGTCTCTTAACCTGTTTATTGAGCTTCCTATAATCGACGCATAACCGATGCTTATCCCCTTGCGTCACCAAAATAACTGGACTTGCATATGGAGAATTAGTTTCAACAACTATTCCCCACCTCTTCCACTCTCCCACAATTCCAGCAATCAGCTCTCTTTCAACAGCTGTTGTCTTGTATGGTTTACACACAACTGGACTGCTACCTTCCACTTCACAGAGTTCCATTTCCGCCATGTGTGTACAACCCAATTCATTTATATTCATAGAAAAACACCTTCTGTACTTGTTCAGCAAGCGCATTAATTTGCTAACCTCTTCTTCTGTAGCATCCCTGCCTATTGCTTTCAGGTCTGATATTTCAAGTGGTTTTTGTTCTACCTCTGCTGGTTCTTCCACAACTTTTAGTTCATCCAGTGAACCGTAATGCCCCAGAGTTGATTCTCCCAATCTTAGGCAATCCTTTGACCGACTCAGTTTCAAGATTCCATCTTCTTTCCAATAAGTGACTCCCGGTGCATCAATCCAATTCCTACCCACCAATAAATCAAACTGACAAGCATTCCCTGGAACAACTTTAATGGTAACAGGGCCAGCTTCTACTCCGTCAACCGTTATCATCGCCTCTGCTTCTCCTATGGTTGTCACTGCCGCTTTGTTCATATCTCCAAATCCAAACATAGGTTTTGCCTCTGGTAGTACATTAAGATTGCATTTGAATGCCACTTCTTCTCTCATGATAGAGTAATGGCTACCAGTGTCCAGTAGTGCTGCCACCTTACAACCATTCACCATGGCACTCTTTATATACGGATTTTCTTCCTTGAGATTTATTGATTTGACAAAATGTGCAGGCTGTTTACTTGGACATTCATTGGCATAATGCCCTACTACACCACAACTATAGCAGGTCACTGCTGAACGCTTCGTAGGACACTCACGTGCCAAATGCCCTGCCTTATGACAGTAGAAACAAGTATTAATTTTGACTTGCTCACCTCGAATATCGCTAATTGCACCCTCCGTTGTAGGAACTTTATTGCTCCTCCAAGAACTCCTTTGCCACCTATTCTGATTTTTCACCTCTTGATCACTTGCTGCCTGTTGGTTTGTATTTTGACCCACCTTAGTCCGATTGTCTCCATAATTGGTCGTCTGCCCTCTGCTACTATGGTTATGTTCACCAGTACTGCTCACCTTTGATGCTCTCAACATGTTCATGCGACACCAGGAACTCAGGTCCGCCAATAACATTTCTTCGTTGACATGCATTCTACCCAGCGCATACATGGCCAACTCCCTTTGATAAATCCCTTGTATCAAGCAGTCTCGTGTCTCGGCAAACTCCATGTTCAAGGCTCTACAAAGACGTACCTTATCATGGAAGTAGTCCATTAAGTGCTCGTTCCTTCCTTGCGTCCGACGTTGCATACAGTCCCAACGTTCGGATAACCGCAACTCCCGTATGAACGTACCCCTGAACTTCCGTTGAAAGTCCGCCCAATCAACAAAATTTCTATCGATAAACCAGTTTTTAGCTGCTCCCGACAAATTCGTTCGAATGAACTGCAGTCTAAAAGTCAGAGGCCACATATTAATATCGGCTAAATTTTCTACTGACCTGAGCCAATCTTCAGCCACATGCGGCTCTTCCCTGCCAGTAAACGGTTTAACAGACTGATTTAGATCTGGTACTACTCGGTATTCCATTTGAGACATTTGCTCCGCATTTGACCTCCCATATCCACTAGTTGGACCAGTAGAGGATGCTGACGTAGTGCTCTGTAAAACGTCCACCTGGGCTTTCAGACTATTTACTAATTTAATCAGCTCAGTGTAGGTTGGTGCACGTATTTGTTCTTCGTCCACCATCGTTTCCTCCCGTTGAGTATCAAATACACACAACCTTATTTCTTATAGAAAAGAAATATATATAAAAAAAAATTATTGAGAAAACTAAATAACCAAAATAATAGAAAAACAAATTCTCATAAATTTATGTAGATCACTGTTACACTTTAAAACAACTATTTTGTATAACCGTTATGGACGAACACCGAAAAAAAAAATATATATATTATATTATCAACCACAGCAACACGTATTGATAAGCGATGACTAGTGCGTGATGCACCTACTCCAACGACACTTCGTCACCTAACCTCACTTTTGATTTTGTACAAGAGGTTTTGAAATGACGGTTATGAAAATTCCAACCCGTTACTATCCGGAAACGCACAAAGTAATTTTTCTTGTTTGCCCGGTACTCTCTTCGCACCCCAAGTTGGTGAGTAAAAAGCAAAACAAGAGAAAAAAAAAAAAAAACGGTAGCACAGTGG